TTACACACTTTATAATCTGTTCATGTCGGAGCTCCGAAAAGATTAAAATAAAACGCCTTACTACCTTTGGGAATAACTAAAAACCAACCAAAAATTTTGATGTTTCCCAAAGAAAATTACAGGATGCTTTTTACAAAAATGTTGCATAAAGCCATCCAAACATATTTATAAATATAAACACAAGCTTTCCTCCGCCCTGTAGACATGCGCTTGCAATCCCGACCCACGAATTTTATATTTTGCTATATTTTAAATCAAACTATAAATATAGCGCACTCCCATACGATATGAATGGGCAGAGTGTGGCGAAGCTGCGGGAGACATAAAAAAGGAGTAGACAGACGATGTGTCGCAGTGCAGCTGCTATTTAAGGACATTCAGCAGACTAATAAAGTCAAGATCAAAACGGCACGAGCGGCCGGCGAACTTGCAACGTGATTCATTGCATATTGACTCTTCGCTCGCTTTAATTTTAATATCCACTGTCATCACTTTCATGAATTTATATGTATTCTCGTACACTGCAGAGTAGTTAGTTACGTCTTTATAATAGAAGACCAAAGATGCAGAAGATAGAGAAACCTATGGAAGTCTTTTGGACAGACCTATGACCAACAGTGAGCTGATGATGATGATGATGAAAGAGTACCTTAAAATAGTTTTTGGTAGCGAGACTCTTATTTATTTACTACTATCCTCATATGCAATAATAAGACTTCTTTCTGAACAATACTAATATGTTAGATTAGAAATACATAATTCACAATTAACCATCGTTAAAAATATCACTAACAACATGTAAAAAAGATAGTTTTCAATATTGACATGTGAATGTGAACGCTACGATACTGACAAAAACAAAATCCATGATATCGGATGCATTTTTCTTGACAACAATAAGCGTTAAATCATCCCAAGTTGGGTGTAAGTTGCAAACAAAAGGCGTTTTCACCGGCGCTGTAGAGAGCCGTTCGTGAGAAAGTACCCACGGGTACTGACTGCTGCTTCGGACAATGCATTTTCACTCACGCTACCAAACCTAAAACGGATCATCTACGTTAAAAAAACTGAACAACAAATCTAAACTTATTAATAAAATTCGAGTGTCTTTCGAAAAAAATTGTCTATCTGTATGTTTGTCGCGAGGCCGACTTTCCGAATCTCCGGAACGGCTGGACCGATTTTTAGAGGACTTTCACAGTAAGGTGGCTAATGCACGCGAGCATATAATAGGCTTCTTTTTTAATTCGTTGACAACCGCTAATATTATAGCAGCATTAATAATATAGCATCAGAACTTGAGGAAATGAATAAAAATTATTTTATGAATGATATATAAAATAGTGGTAGTGTCCTATGAATTAATCAATAAAAGGTGTGTTCAAATCTATAGTTTCCGGTCACACATGACAGTCATGGGAGTATCGGTTCCGCTCATTGCCTCTAGTTAATATTGAACAAGATAAAAAGGTTATTTAAATGAAACAAGCAATAAAACGATACACTTGAATAGTTACCAATCATAAATCATGCCATAAATAAATTCATTTAAGTTCTTAACTATTGCTTTTAATTAATTTCCGATTTAACGTGATTAAACAAACCAGATTGAGTACTTTATTCACAAAGGTTATAAAATATATTCTTACCTTCGAATCAAATTAAAGGATGTCGCTTTATGTGTCAAACTGGTCTCAAAATATCCAGCACCTGTTTGTTATCATTCGAGCAGCGTCACCACGCGACACGCTGGCTGCTTTGTGCCATCGCGGCTGTTTACATCATCGAAACAGTATTCCATTTATATGTAAAACCACTCATTGTAACTACATTTTAATATTAAACTACCCACAACTCTTGATACCACTTTTCAAATCAAATTAAAATACAGAATAAAAATTGCTTTTTCATAATTTGTTACTAAGAATTAATTTTTTTTAAGCATTTCAAGAAAAGGAAAAATGCCGTTAATCTAAAAATTTGTTTTAAATTAAATAAAATTAATACTGCCATCTTTTGATGAAAATATGCTCAAATATGGAATCCAAAAATCGGTAATTTTCAATAGTTTTAATTGATAAATTGTGAATATTTTTTTATATCAAATACACACGATATTTAAAAAGGACATAAAATTTTAAATTGTAAACCTTTTCGCTACTTCCCACAAGACGGAATTGAATCATTATTGCCGTTTTACTATCCGCCGCTAGATGTCACTGTTTCGTTTTTGAATTATGAAGGTAGAAAATTACAGAAAACTTGTGTATAAAACTATTATTTTATTGTATTTATACAAATAGTAAAAAACAAATTAAATTTGTAATCTTTTATTTCCATTAATGATACTAAAATAACATCCGCAGCAAATATAACTGACTATAAACAAAATTTCACATTCTAATATGTCGCGTTATTTATAAAGCTATACACGTTTAGGTAAATTGGAACATTTATAGCGTGTCTCAGGTCGTAGGCTGTAATATGGCAGGCCTGGGACTAAATAAATCTCACAATCGCATATATTTTTACACACATAACTAGGTACATTTCTATTTAGACGATTATAATGATTATAATAAAATTTTCAAACTAAAATTTTCGATTTCTCAAATAAAAAATACATTAACATCAGATCTCTATATAATATGAAATGCGACGGATTATGAATTTAATGATATATTTGTTTGACATAATTTCGGAAATATTGCGATTCAAAAGTAACAATTTATAAATGTCTTATTACTTAAACATTTTAAAATATCAATAAACAAATATAATATCTACATCTAACTATAATAATCACTTTCATTAAGAACTAAACAGAATTGTAAAATAAATAGAAACAATTTTTAACAGAGATCAGAATATGATAAATATTATTCAATGAATAACCGTGGGATTCTACTGAAGAAATACATACAACTTGATGTCACTGCATTCTTTAAAAAAACGGAGTTAACAATAACCGTGGGTTTCCGAGATCAAAATCTCTGTATAAAACATATCGTCATCCCTATCAGCACATAGAACAATATGCTTTAAACGAAGATTTAGGAATCGGAAGCCCACGGTAACTTGTATACAAGTGCTTGCAATAGAAACGTACGATAAAGGAGTAATAATACATAACTAAGTTGAAATAATTGCTAAATTATTATTAATCAAATAGGAAACCATAATTATCTCTTGGTACTTAAATTATTTTTATTGTCATAAAAATTATATCGTATTCCAATAAAATTCTATGTTGCACACTTGACAGAATACGCGATATGGATTTGAATCATAAGAACATTGGATTAATAAATATTTTTAACTGAAATATCAATAAGCTAATGTCATTTTCTTATAATACAGTGCCATTCAAACTTTATGACAGCTCGCAATTTCGCACGAGCCGCTGTGTTGGGGCGCAGTGGGGTGCGGGGGAGGGCACTGCGCACACCAAAGTGACCTTGAGCCGCCAAAATTAACACGAATAATATCAGCGGGACGTTAAGAGAAGCGGTTGTATACCTCTCCGCGTGCTTTCCAGCGGCCTCTCTGCGGCTAACCGCGAACAGTCATAAACTGTGAATCTTATAATACTATATTTTTATAATACACGAAGATAAAGATTTCTTCGTGCAATAAAAAATTACGAAGTTCGCATTACACTTGAAATTATTTACAAATGTTACATTTAAAGTGGAAAATACATATATGGCAAGCCTTTCAATAAATCAAAAAATCAACTTCACTATATTAATTTTTGCAGCCGCAATCTTTCCTATATCTTTATAACAAAAAGAATTTTTTTATTAAAATTAAATTTTTCATTTAAACGAATGAAGAGATTTTAGAAAAAAACACTCGTTTCTTTTAACACAAGGCATAGAACCAAAAAAAAAATCGTACAACGAAACTCAGAATTCACATGTTCATTGGAACTACCTCAGAGTAAACAGTTCTTTTAGAGAGATCAGTTACTTTGAATACAGTAAAAACGAAATCATATTTTTTCTTGCCGCCTCTAAAAAACATCGATTTTATAGTCTATGAGAAAGTAACATTCATATTTCTACATACACAAGCTTGACTGATAATATTAAACATTTAGCGCCGTTCTTAATATCACTCAGGGACATGACAAAATATTAATACACTCACTAAATACTAGAATATTTATCATTAATTCAGTGAGCATTTACCATGTCACATAATATACAGTATGTTAATTTATCAAGCATATAATAAAAAAATAATATCGTTTCACTAATCGTATGTAAATATATAATATCGTAATTTTGAAGCTAATCATCTATTAATAATCTTAACACGTACAATGCCACCGGGCTCATTCTGTGAGTTTACTTTCGAACAAATTGCAGTGGCACTGAACGTGTTAATTTCGAAAGTGTTCAATATTAAAAAAAAGGATAGAAGTGTCAAAAAAAATAAAACAAAAATCTAAACGAATAAAACATAAAATAAAATAATCTTAAAATGTAATTTCACATGTTAAGTATAAATAGAAAAAAAATGCGACAAATGTAAGAAAGAAGAACAAGGTAATCGATTTATGAATCTTATTATCGGTTACACTAAAGCTCGGAACAGTCGTTCAGTTTTAACTGAACAGTTCGACTGTCGACTGGACTGTAAAGTTTTGCCTACACACACAGTCTAAGTTAGCAGTTCAAATGTTCACTTAAAACTGAACGACTGTAGCGGGCTTAAAATACAGATAAGATTTAAAACATTGAAATTAACATTATTCTTAACAATCTGATGCCAAGCGTCCTCACACTGAATAAGCATTATAAATGCAAAATAAAAAAAATAAATTAATACTGATTTTATATAATCACAATTTTGAATGAACGAAGATCACTGATTTATTTTAAACATTTCCAGTAACTAAATCAAAAGTTAATTTAAAATAAAATCCCTATAAAATAAACTAATAATGTGACTTTCTTAGGAAAATAAAGACATATACAACCAATATTATTTAACCGTATTGACTAGCGGTACAGTATGTGCACTTATATTGCAAAATGGTATTCATAATTTTCATATATTCGGTTAATTTTTAATCTATGACAACTCAGAGTTGCCAGATCCTGCGTGGACAACTCTTTTGGTATATAAAGAGAAAGCTTTATATTAGGACTAGGATAACCGGTGCGTAAAAAGCTTCCTAAACATAGTAAAATATACATTTTATACTACGTCTTTTATCTGGCAACCCTGACGCTCGGGTGAAGCGATGGCCCCATGGCGCAACAATATTTACAGGCAACACTAACATAGATGTGACAGTTGTGAAACGGAACGCTTACGTCAACCCATTGACAGGTTTTTGACAATTGTGACGTCATGATGGCTCCGTCGATTGAGTTCCTTAGCCTCTTTGGTTATATTGGATTCGACGAGCATTGAATGTCGTTTTGTATTGAGATCTTTCTTCCTCCTGACTACGTCGGGACTGTAAGGTTCAGAGACACGCCTGTCCGCGATAGAATGGGACTGAGTTTGAACGTTAGTTAGAGAGCCTTGCCTTTGTATCGTTGCTGGTTCTTGATTCATATTGGGTAAATAAGTCTGGAATGAGGGTCTGTTCTGAGCCGCCTCCATTATGGAACCTGAAAGAAAATTAAATTGCTGAGTTTTAGCGTACTAAATATTTGTTAATTTTATGTCATTTTACAAAATAGCTCTCTATATATTAGCTTACAAAAATAATTGATGATATTTATTCATTTTAGATATAAAATAAATATAAAAATTATTGGTATAATTTATACCATAGACATTAAATTACATTTGGACAGAGACGTGTCACTTTAGTTGTTTTGAAAACAGGAGCTCATTAACAAATTATACTATTTTTCGAGCTATAACTTTGCTCTATAACCCGACCAATTTAAATGGTGGATTAAAAACTGTAAATACGAAATTTCTATCAAAAGCCAAAGTGCAAGGTGCAGGTATTTGTCATCTAGTCAAATGTGTGATGCTTACATATATTTTGACATTTTTCTGGCTCATCCACGTGCTATTTCTATTTATAGTTATAAACACAACACTCATATTACTCGGAGGATAGACAGAGATGACAGATTTCGTTAAAAGTTTAATCCGAAAAAAATGCATGCATCTATCAAATTAGTTAGGTTATATTATTATTTTACTACCAAGAATTATTAAATAATAAATAAAAAAATTCAAGGTCATAGAAAAAAATGAAACGCGATGCAAACATTGAACAAAATTTGATGACTCAAATATCTCGATAGCATGAACAAAAATTAGAACATGACAAGGTTAATTAATGAAATTAAGGAAAACATTCAGAGATTTTGTATAGGTATAATTTGCGGCTACAAATATATTTGCAAAGAGTTTTCTCGCTTAGTAGAGCGTTATCTCTTTCACACACTGACAATAAAAGTGTGAAAGAGATAACGCTCTACAAAGCTTGTATAATATTTATAGTCGCATACTATAGGCAGGTATTATAATAAAATGTTAGCTAACAGGCAATGTTAACAGAGATAGAAATGCAACGCAATCACCTCAGCTCTGGTAAGTCGGATCGTCTGGTTAATGACCTGACAATCAAGTAAAATATTCAAATTTAGTTCCTCTCACTATCGTTATAGAGATGAAATTCTATTGACACGTTTATTATTTAGTGATATTTTCTACTATAAATACGAAAGCCTCTACTTTTCAAGTATAGCATTTTTATGTATGAAATTTTCATACATTTTAAAAAATATATGAAAAAAATTATTTTTGCAATTTACTTCTTAAAAAATATTCGAATATTCTAGATTATGTACATGTCTATAGCGATAAACTGTGAAATCACAACCACAAAAGTCATCAAAAATGCAACCCATTAAGAAACAAACAAAGCAATGATTTATCGCCACAATTTTAATATACGTTAAACAAAAAAAGGTCGAATATAAATTTAATTTTCAATCAAATTTGACATTATAATTATGAATAGAGAAGAGGTGTAATTTTTAAGAATAAAGGTAGTAAACGTCTATCGTTAATGTGAAGTTTCCAATTTAAAAAATCACAAATTTAAAAAAAATATTTCATTTGAAGATTGTTAGTATATTTGATATTCGTAAATAACAGAAAGAATAAAAATAAGCTATACTTATATATATTTTTTGTAACAATATGTATTTATATGTTTTTCATTATTTTTAATTAGTTTTGGTGTGCGAAAACTTTCCACGTAAGGCACTTTGTACAAAAGTCAACGTTAATCGTAAAAGCATAGCGACTACATATCAGCTGTATAGATTTGCACTGATTTACTAAATCCGCCGTGTATCGGAGATTTACATTGCCTTGTGTACGGAGGGACTACCACATCGTTATGACGTCATCAAATCCAAGTGTCGTGTTACTATTGTTAGTCTACTGTGTTATGACAGTGTTAGAGCTGCAGTTTACAGTACGTGTGTGTACGTGTACGTTATTGCGTGAGTACGTGTACGGTATTCCGTGCGTACGTGTACGTTGGCACGTGCGTACGTGTACGTAGTTGCGTGCGCACTCACCGAGCGTGCGCACGAGCCACGGCGTCACCGATTGCTTCTGGTTCATCTGCATCTCGTTGAGGGCAGCGTTCAGCTGGTGGCTTAGTTCCTGCAAATTTTTTTAGAAAAACTGTAAATAAAATTCGTAGCGGTAGTGTTAGCTTCGTTATTTCGCAGAATTTAGGTGACCGCATGTTTGTTTGACGTACGTTCGGCCCAGAGCTGTATGGGATGTACATATGACTCGAGTTAGTTTCGTAAATCGTTAATTGATCATCAACGGAGTGTCGTATGAAGTTTCCTACACATAATTTACAATAAATGTCGGTCAGTTAGTGTACTGACCTGGTTGCTGCACTGTGCCTGCACATGGGCGAGCTTCACCTGCGCCAGCTCGAGCTCGAGGTCCCGGACGCGCTGCCGCAGCCGCGCCTCAGTCTCGCTGGAACCTTCCACTTTCTCCTCGCCCCCCTTCTGCTCGCACTCTGACACAACATTACACATACGATGTCTTATTAGTACTAACTGCAAAGCTAATCTTTTTATTGTTTAACAATAGAAATAAAAAAGTTTTATCGATTGTTATATTACAATTAATATTTAATATATATTCCAACTTTATAAAATATGTTAGGGCAACGACAGGGTGGCATTTTAGGACCGCTAAAAACAAACCTACAAAAGTACTGTTTACTATTGTTGTTAAGTATTGAACAGTTAAATCTATATTCTACAAGAAACAAAATAATTAAAAAAAAAAGACTTGAACGGATATACCCAATCTGAAAAGTATGGATGGGAACCCAAACTTTTTTAAAGTAATTATGTAATGACTTACCTTCTTTGTTATCTTTCTGCGCGAGTTTGACGCTGCAATTTACACAGTTTTTGACATATTCCTGGAAAAAATCAATAAATTAATACTCAAATATATACAGATACATTACCGCAGCATAATAAAAAAAACTACTAAAATTATATGTACCTGCATTTGATGCACTTGCTTGTCAAGCCGCGCGCAGATCTCGCGGTAGTCACGCGCTACCGCCGCGTAGTGTACAGACTCCTTTTGCATTTCCTCTAATGCGCTACGATTCTGAACAGAAACAAATTATAAAAATAACAATAAATACAGGTAAAACAACATTACAAGCTTAAATTTTATTAAAAAAAGATCAAAATCTCGACAAAAAATGTTAATTGTATAAAAGAAGCTGTGGCCCGCGACTCCGTCCGTCAACTATGTCAAATTTCAGCAAGACTCATGAGGACTTTCTGGAGATACCTTATAACAAATATCCATTCATCTAAACATTCGCATTTATAATATTAGTAAGATTTTCAGTATAAAAATATTTTTTGGTTGACTTTACCTGTGTAAGCTGTGATTCCAATGACTCTTTCTCCTGCTGCAGCTGACCGCAGCTCACCTTCAGACTTTCCAGTTCAACATTTATCTTCTCCTTTTCTGCTGATTCTAAAAGCAAACACATCAATATTACTATAGAACTGCAGATTAAGAAAAAAACATAAATTAAACATTAAAATATACCTTTGATGAATTTCTCGTATTCAAGTTGATACTTTTGCAGCCTCTTCACTTTGATACTGCAGGCCAGTTTTACAATTTGACGGGAGGACTCTTCCGCACGACATTTCTTCGGTAATGTTACTCTACAAATATAAATTATTTTACGTAAGATGTATTACTTTACGCAATTACTATACAAGATAGCAGAATACAACTGGGGTTTGACTTCCTAATCACTTTTATTGACACATATTGGTATCCCCAAAGCCGGTTTTAGCATTTTCGCCGCCCCGGGACGAGATTTCTGAGGCTCACCCTTTTCTATGGTGTTGAGGAAAATCTACTTAAGATATGGTATTGGCACTGCAAGCGCCTCTTTATAATTGACTTAAAGTCCCGTGGCGCCCGCTTATGCAGGGCGCCCTGGGCAGCTACTGGTTGTCCCTCTTTTGTCAAAGAGAATATGAGGACTGTATCTGTCAAGTAGGTATTTAAGTGCTATACCTAAAATATTTGAGCACGCCCTCAAAGTCGTGCTGTAGCAGGTCCTTGCGGGAACGCGAGAGCAGCGCCAGCGCAACTTGGAACAGCGTGTCCATACCTTGCAGCAGGAACACGTCCAGAATGTGGTACACCTATAACAAATAACATATACATAAACATCGACCAAATTACATAAGACCACCCAAGTACATAACGGGTTAGCTTTAATCCCTTCGAGAATATGACAATTGAATTACTTTGTCTCGTCAAAACTAAACGGAAATTTACGAAGCATTATCAATGGATCTTGTATTATTTTTATTGTAACATATTGATGGGCTCGTTTATAAATAGTTTTCTTCTAAATAATGGTTATATAGTAAAACATGGTTTATTAACTTACCAATGGCAAAGGGAACCTCGCGGTGAACACTGTGAGGAACCACTGAGACGCGAACATGTGAGGTTCCACGCCCAGCTCTTGGAAATGAGCTCGAAGATCATTCAGTTGCTCCTGAAAATTATTACAAAATACTTAAAATATATAGATAAAATAATTTAAAGAAACTGTTTCTTAAATTATATACTGCGGCAATAGCAGACGCATGAATAGTATCTAAAACTAATCTAATCGTGGGTTTTCAAGACCAAAATCCCGGTTCAAAACATATTATCTCCGTTTTGTCAAAAACGAATGTACTGACAGGAATCACGATACATTTTAAACGGAGTTTTTGGTCTAAGAAACCAATAGTTAGCAATTTTACGATACGGCGCAGAATTTGTTAATTTAATATACTGAACTTTACCTCCATCAATCTATCCAATTGATGTAGCCTCATGTAGAGCGCTTCGAAGCCGTCCTTGTACAGCTCGCGCAGCCCGTAGCCGTACATCAGACGCACCAGGAGACAGAACGCTTGCTCCTCCGGCATCTAAAACAAAACCATGATATTTATTTCTATGATTTATTTGATTTACTATTATTACCGCACCACTCTGTCTACGCGAAATTAAAAAAAAACTTGTTTATTAACCTATGTATTCTTCCAGATTATGTTCTATATCTATGTATGTAATAATTCACCGAGATCTATTAAGACTTTCTGGAGATACCTTCTAACAAACATCCATACATCCATCTATTTAAACATTCGCATTATAATATTAGTAACATGTCTGCAATAAACCACTATTTACTATTTACGAAGACGCTATTCCAAAATTTATGAATCAATCAGATAAGTAAGAAAAGATAAAGAGAGAGAGAGAGAGAGAAGAAGAGAGAGAGAGAGAGATAGAAGAGACCTTGAAATCTTTTTATTAAGTTGTCCTAGTACAACAATTTTTGTTTTAATTTAACTTTTAGTATGATTTAATAGGAAGTGTATACTAACATGCAGCAGTAAGGTGGCGGCGAGGAAGCTGAGCCCCTGGCAGTAGCCGACCTCGTGGTCGTAGACGGCATACGCGCGCGCCATACGCAGCAGCGAGTCCTGTCCCAGGCCGCCCGCCTCGCGGAAGAAGTCGTGTGCGGGGAACGTGCGCGCTATGTCACGCTGGATCACCGCCTCGAACGGACACTCCTGACATACGAATAAATAAATCAGCTTCAGAACTTCTTTTTTTTTTACTCGGCTCTTATACGGTGTAGTGAGTGCGCTACCAATTACAAGAAAAAATTAAAAAATCCGATAGTTAGATTCTCAGATTAGCATGAACAAACATACTACAATTTTTCTTAACTATGCACACTAAACCCGAATCTATTCCATTAATGGTTGGTTTATTAGACCAAAAAACCTATATAAAACATTGGTATCTGTTTTGTTAAAAATAATAAGCAGGGTAACGATATATTTCATACTGTGATTTGGTCTCAGAAACCAACATTAAGTCATTTTAATACAGCCACATATTTGCACTAAGAAAACTACAGTAAAGTACATCATTTTAATCGGCAGTAATAGAGTTATCATCAGTAATCGCATGGTTACCTTGCTGATGAGGGTCCTGTAGGTCTCCATGAGCTTGTCGTTCTGGTCGACACCAGCCAGTCGCAGCCACACCTCACCGCGCAGCGCCTCCGGCACGCCCACACGCACCAGCTGGCTCAGCGCGCGCGGACGTGGACCTATCCAACTAAAATCAAACATAACAATAAGTCTCATGATTATAACTTTTAGGGGTAAGCAGAAACTACAAATTAGGACTTAAATACTCACGAGCTATATCAAAACTTACTTTCTAAAGGATTATTTTCAAGGATTCGATATAAAAATGTACTACGTGACTATTGACTTAGTGCGGTCAAAGATAATTTAAAAGAAGTTTAGGCAGGACGTAGATTACATTATGTATGTCAGTTAAACTTACTTTCTTAACACTTGCGCCCAGTTTTCGAGAACATCAACTCCGCAATCTTTAGACACTTCGCCAGTTCCACTCAAAAGTGGCTCGTCGCCATCTAAAATCATGAAAAAAAATAAAAAAAATCGAACATTGCTGGATACCAGAATTATATAATTTCTCTAAAAAATTACACAAATCTAAGATTTTGCATAGTCCTGGTTTACTGTTTCCCAGTTCAATTTCCTAATCGACTCAAATAATAATCAATATTGTGTAATTACCAGAATCGGGTTCCGATGGCGAAGGTGGCGCAGGCGCACTGGACAAGGGAGACGGCAATAGATTAGACAAGGACAGCGGCAAGTTCAGACGAGATCTGTCTAATTCTCCAGAAGTTTCCACACTCGCAACCTCGTATTGCAGTTGTCCTAGTACATCCAGCGACTGCAACAACGTAAAGATTAAATTAGTATGTGTCGCTGTGTACCTGACTGTGTGCGTTAGTGTAACTGTGTGCGTTTGTGCGTGTATAGAAATGTAAAAAAATCACCTCTTTCAAATTGATATAAAACTGTTGCACCAGAGGTCGCTTCGAATAGTACCAGAACCTTTCTGTTGGCGGGTAAACTTTCACTGGTGTTTCTATAACCAATCTGCAATTAAAAATGTAAATAAATATGCAATTTATAACTAGAAAAAGAATTGAATAAAAATTTTCTTAATCTAAAGTGATAAATCTAGTAAGACAATTCTAAAATTTAATTTATAATACATTCGTTCGTTCAAGTCATGTTCATACTCCTCTGTCGTATTAATGAGACGGTCGTAATCACTAACCGTAGGTTTCCGATACCAAAATCTTTGTATAAAACATATCGAATCCAATCATTATGTGACAAAACCAAGTCAAGTTAGTCTCAGAAATCCACGTTAAGTCTTTATATTACGAATAAAACGATGTGAAGGGGTCATATATACCATAAGGATTTATTCTTCGCCTAAACCTCGTTTAAGAGTAACTAGACTCGAGGGCTCCCTGAGGAGCTTCGGCTCGGGCGTTTATTTCGTTATTATTAACAAATTAGACTTACTATAAGTATGATTAAAAAAAGTATATAGATGTATCATGTGATATACCTGAGAGGATCTCTAATGCCTCTAATAACAAGGTCCAAAGCTAGCGACATGTATGCAGGCGCGCCATCACCACTCGCCACGTTGAAGGCAGCGAGCGCGGCCTCGCCTGCATTCCACAGCGCGCACACCGAGCAACCTGAACCACCTGATGCACCGCTCACCTGTGTACAAATATTATACAATATTCTATGACACTAAAGTAATTATATTTCGAAAAAAAAAATAGCTTTTGCCAGCGACTCTGTCAGCAGAATAAAAAGAAATAATAACTATGTGTTCTTACAGACTATTTTCTACATAAATGGCAAATTTTATTTAATTCGCATTTATAAGATGCGAAATATGTTTGTCTTGGGTTGTTACTTCATAAGAATGATATCAAATAAGTCTTTGTAATTGGAAGTGTATGTACTAACCATTTCAAGTAATCTCATATCGGAATGTTTGACACTGCGTCCCGGAGCGAGAAGTATACCAAAGCATCGTTCTATGTATAACCCGCCGGTATACGACATCTGAAATAATAAAAAAATTTAAGTAATTATTGAGAATAAATCAGGCACAGTATACACTAGGCATTACCCGCGACTCCGTCTGCGCCAGGTTAAAAATAATAGACTATGTATTCTTCCAGACTATATTCTACATCTATGTCAAATTACAGCAAGCTCTGTTGATCCATTCTGGATATACCTTCTAACAAACATCCGTCCATACATCCAAACCAGTTTTGACAGTGGTAGAGTCCGCTTCCAGCTTATGCTGGAGCACGAATTGGCCCGCTCGCCCGGTGAAATACCACGACCGCACAGAAGACAGGCGTGAAGTGGAAGAAATTCCGCGTTTCGTCTGATG